ATTCCCTACTAACCAAAGGTAAGAAACGGGGTCCCGAAGGCGATGCTGGGGAATTCCGTGACTGAAGCCTGGAAGCTCCACTTCTCCTGTGCCGGGGTTGGAAGTTCTGTTCTTATTGTTTTTTTTTTGGGTTTTTTTTGGGGTTTGACTAGGTTTTCCAGTCTTGTGTGTTTAGGGTTTTGGTAGGTTTTAGTGGTTGGTTTTTGGGGACATCGGGCTTTTGGGTGTTTAGGGCTTTGGAGTGGCAAGCTAGGGCTTTCGTTTTCGGGGTTTCAAGCCTCTTTTCCGGGTGTTTGACGGGTTTTCAGGTCGAAGCCCTAAACCCGAAACCCTAAACCCTAAACCCTAAACCCTAAACCCTAAACCCTAAACCCTAAACCCTAAACCCTAAACCCTAACCAGCTTAGGGTTCAGAGTTTAGGGTACAGGTTCCAGGTTCCATGTCTTCCGGTTCTGGGGTTTTCAGTAGGTTCGACAAGGGCTGTTTTCGGCATTCATCTAAGATAGGAGCGAAATAGTTAGCTATACAGTTTTGGGTGTTCCTTATTATCGTTATAGCATAATATACACCAAGACCCTATTCTAATTATTATAGCCCCTACATTAGATCTAACTTTGCAGGGGTTTAGGATTTAAGTGTTGCGCCGGCCTTGGGTTGAGACATGGGTTTCTATAGGTTTGTGGGGGGTGGTCCCAAGAGGTTCTATGCAGGCTTGGCAAGGCTGTCGAAGGAGTTCAGGGTTAAGGGTCCCAGCTTTTTGGGGCTTGCATTTTGGGCACCTTTTTTCAGCGTTTAGGATTTCATAGTTTGGGGTTTAGGGGTTGAGGGTTTTAGGGCTTCAGAATTATTTGGGAATTGAGGGGCTTGGGGGTTGAGGGTCGGCGTTTCCTTATGATGGTAGGGTTGTACTAGGTTCCTGAGTAGTACCCCTTTGCCCTGTTTATGGTATGCTTCCCTTATTGACACTGCATAACAGGAAAAAGGGTACCCTTACTATCTAGGAGCCACTCAGGAACCCAGTGTACAAAGTTCGCACTAGGGCTACCAAGTGGAGGGGTTTGGTAGAACAAAAACTTCCGTTCCTGCTGAACCTTTAGTTTAGCAGATACACGACAACATAACGATGACCAGGTGCGTACACAATTTCAGCAGTGTGCTTTAACAGGCTTGAAGAGGCGACACCGACGCCACATGCGAATTCCACATGCTTTATTGGGGTCTCGGTGTAGTGTTTCTGTGAGATAGGGTGCAAACTTGTAATTGTTGTCGGAGTTTAGCTGCTTGCTCGTGGGCCCTGACAACGAGCACAGTTAGTTTACTGGAATCAAAATACCTAACGCCTGCTTGGAATCTCTTCTGACATGGTACCTGTTACGGCTACTTCGTATTTTCAAAAGCCATTGCAATAGTACCATTATCCCTCTTGCTCAACCTAGGGCTTCAATCCTCAACCTTTGGCCCTAAACTCTGAAGCCTTTAAAGCCTCCTATTGCGCCCTTGACGGTGTAATTCATGGGCTTTGGATGTTCGTGAATGCAGCTGTCGGTGCTCAGGTCTCGTTCAGGGTTTGAAGAAGCGCGCTAGTGGTGGGGGTTGTGAAGCTGACGCTGATGGCCGTGATGATGACCCTGCTCCCCTAGAGGCCCCAAGAAGTGTCTTAAACCCTGAGGCTTAAACCCTAAACGAAACCCTCAACCCCACCCGATGAGCTGAACCTTAAATGGCAAACCCTACACAGTTCGTCGTACGCCGGATGCCCGAAACCCTCTATGGATTTTTCCTTGTATAGAACCCCTTTAAAGGAACCCTTCGAGGATCCTGCAGGCCTTTAGAGAGAATCCCGAGAGTCTTCTTATAGTTCCCGCAAAGGAGCCCTTGTAGGAACCCCTAAAGGAATCCATAACCCTTAACATAGGGGCCTTTATAATTGCCTACACTATTTTGGGGGCTCCTTATTTTAATTGTAGTGTCATGGGCTCCAAAACCCTATTCTAATTTTAGCGCTACGCCGCCCGCCTCGGCTGCTGAGGGCCAAATCGCACGGAAAGCTGCGGCTTTGCATGAGTAGTCTACTCATGCAAAGCGTTGTTTCCTGCCAGAGTATCGTTGAAAGACCAGATTGCGGTAGATCTACCTCAGCCTGAATGCGAGGCAAGCATGTTTTTAGGTATCCAGCCACTTGTGCCCAGTACACGGTTACAGCAAGAGTTCGTGCGAGCAGCACGCAGGATCGAGCAGGTGTGGGCGTTCATTAGATTGCTGTCAGCTTTGGGTGTGCCTGCGCGATTCGTCAGCATGCGGCAGTCGGCGGCTTCGGCAGGCTCTGCAGGAGGCGCGGGAACTCCCAGAGGCAGATGTAGTGCAAAGGTCGTCACGGTGTGTCGTTCGAGGGCCAAGCTGACAAAGTGTTGTAGGACTGCCGGTCCCCTTACGCAAGCTTGCGAATTGGGACATTGCTTGGCGACCCGGGAGAAGCTTGCGGCAAACATGCCGTCGCCTACCAAGCGCAGACGAGCGGAGGTTCCGGCTCCTGCCGAAGTGGAGGACGAGGTAGCCGTGGCGGATGTACACGAGAAGGCTCTCGATGCCCTCGTCACAATGACCACTGTTTATCTGCTTTGGGGCGCAGGCGGCGTGCAGGTGAGCGTCCTCAATATGGTCGTGACCGATGGAGTGGCTTTCCTTCAGGTCGTCCTGTGGCGCGATCTCGTTGCACAACGATTGAAACTCAGTGTCTTCTGAGTGGCAAGTCCCAAGCCTGCTGCTGTCCCAGCATTTCGTGTGCTGCGCTCGTGTCCGGATTCGCGTGTGGAGGTTTTGCCGCCGCAGGGGCTGGAGCTGAATTTGGCTGCGAACCTTTGCAAGAGTAACATGGAAAGCTTGGCCAACATGCCCATTCCCGCAACTCTTGCTGTCCACGGCTCCGTACAGAACCTCAGCGATGTTCAAACCTCGCGGGGCAATCGGCCGCATGTCACCTTTGATTTGACTAACTCTGGTGGTTCCAGTGTCGCGACGGTCGCCATGGGCGAGAACGCGCAACTTCTGGAGCCCGGCGTCATGACTTGGGCTCCCAGAGAGCCCAATGTGCCTTAACGAGGTAATATTACCTAAGCAGGCATTAATGGCTTAAAAATTATTGCCTAAACAAGCTTTTCGGGCTTGTTTAAACAATAAATGGCTTATTTAAGGGTTTGTGCTGCTTAATTAGAGCATGTTCGGGTTTAATTAAACCATATGGCTTAAAATTTATGACATAATGGCTTATTCAAGCAGAAATGTCGTTAAGCGCCAATACAGCTTAATTAAGCAATACTAATGCGCCTTAAATTATGCTATATTTCTCATATATGCCATGCTGCACACGCGTATATACACAAACACATATGTATATATATATATATATATATGTACGTATTTCTATTTTTATATACACATGCAGCATGTATATGACATTTACACACATCTATAGATATGTATATATATATATATATATAGATATGCATGTGTTTTGATTTGTATGTGCATGTGTTCACCTGCATGCTATGCATGCCTGCCAGGGTGTGTATGTGTGCATGCGTGTTTGTATGTGTATGTATATATGTGTGTGTATGTATGTGTATGTGTGCATGTGTATGTGTGCATGTGTGTGTGCGTGTGCATGTGTGTGTGTGTGTGTTTGTCTGTGTGTGTGTGGGCTATACGTGCGCAGAGTATGCACATGTATATGCATGCCATGTGTGATCGTTTTTGTCTCTCGATCGACCAACCTTTTGCATGTAATCGTATAAAACATGTATATATAAATTGTATCGAGGCATATGCGTGCAGACATCCATGCATGCAGTTGTGCAGCCGTGTGCAGGCATGCTTCGGTCCATGTTCGGTCTGCAAGTTTTGGCATGATCTTGTTTGCAAGCATTGCAACAGCAAGCATATTTCAACTTTGCATGGCATGGCCGGAATTGCTGTTGAATTTTACACGCATGCATGGATCGAACCGATGAAGCGAAGTTTAACCAAGTGACCGATCATATTTTCTGTTTGATTTCCTATTCATTTTAAACCCCAAGCATGCATGCATGATCGGGTGCAATGGGTGGGTGTTGCTCATGAGGCTCGAGATCCCCAGGCCTGTTTCACAGCTGTATACATGCAGCTAGGATGATGAAGGATACTGCAGCCAGCCCTCGACGTGCCAACTCGGCCAAACCGGAGGAAATGGTGCCTTGCCTCCGGCTGCATATGCCGGGGGGCCTTGACAAAAAGTATCTGGAGAGCGACCCAGAGATCATCGTAGAAAACTATGAAGGCCTCATTTGTGATCTGCTGGTACGGACGAACCGCCCCACCAAGTGTGTGCTCGCACAGGCTGCCCAGAAAGCTTGGCTTAGTGTTGCGAAATCGGCAGGAGACATGTGGGCCGGCAGAATTGCAAAGGCAGTATCCCTTTGTTACAACAAGAGGCTCCAGAGTTCGACCGGTGTCAAATTGAAAACGAGTGTCCAGCGAGTCATGGCTACGATCAACAAGTACTGCACCCTGAAGGTCGAGCGAGCACCGGTTAAGGCAGCTTCGGGAACCAATAAGCGAGTTTTGAAGAACGTGGATTCGGCGGCTACTAAGACTAGCGAGGAGCCGAAGCCTAAGAAGGCCAAGAAATCCATGAGTGCCGAGGACCTCTACAAGATGTATGGCTTGAAGTCTAGCGACTTCAAGAAGTCATCCTCCATGCCCATGGGTCCCTGTGTGGTGTCGAGCTCCTCTGAAAAACTGGATAGCGATGCTGCCACTGCCAGCAAGCCCACCATGAAGGATCCAAAGCCTGAGAAGGTCGACGATCACATCCTCGCTGCTGGGGGTACTGCCCCGATCCAGTATTGGGACAACTCCAAGACGTGCATGGTGAGGTATTCCCAGGGCACATGACGAAGGGATCCGGAGGGGGAGGAGGAGGAGGAGGAGGAGGAGGAGGCCCCGCAGTAACCGGAAGAGGCCCCAGCTGCAGGTCGGGGGGGTTGGGGTCCAGACGACGACGGCTTCGACGACAACAGCCCATGCCGGATGGACGCTCGGTTGCAGTGCTT